TCCTTGATGTACCCCCTTACTCCTGAACAGTCCGCACTTCAGGAGCCGGCGCTGTGGTGTAGCGGGTGAAGCTGCCACCTGCAGCACCAGCATCCCATCTGGCAACCAGTTCGAGTCCCAACTGCTCCACTTTGATCTAACTCCCTGCTGATACGCCTGGGAACGCAGTGAAAATGGCCGAAGTGCTTGGGCCCCAAGGAAGCTCCTGGCCCCTGGCTTCGGATCAGCCCAGCTCCAGATGTTGTGGCCACCTGGAGAGTGAACCAGCAGATCAAAGCTCACTCTCCAACTCTTTCAAATATATAAATAAATCTTTAGAGGAAAAAAAAAAAGTTTGTACTTCCATATACTCATTTTAGTTGGAAATTTCAAAACTTGAATCAAACCTCAACTTACATGTGTTTGCCCTGTGGGATTTGCTCTTACAGATTTTGGCTTAGGAAACCAAGTTTTAAAAGGAAATTTACAAAACCACCAACCAAGCAACCAAAGAGCCATAATGCACACACGCCCTGTGGGTGCTTTCCCCGTGGTGCAGGGACACCGGCGGCAACCTTGGCCGCACGAGCCTCCACCCCAGTCCCCGTGGCTCGGGCCTGGCAGCCAGCTGCTCACCTGCACGACATTCTGAGAAGCCTCAAGCCAGAGGCCACAGGTCCTGGCAGCTGGGTGTGTCCCAGTTTACTTAGGGACAGTCTGAGAATGTCCGACACATTTGGGCAATCCAGGACACCGCTAGAATGTTCCTGGCTTGCACGAATGTGCTTTTATTTTCTTTTTCTTTTGACAGGCAGAGTGGACAGTGAGAGAGAGACAGAGAGAAAGGTCTTCCTTTTGCCGTTGGTTCACCCCCCAATGGCCCCCGCTGCGGCCGGCGCGCTGAGGCCGGTACACCGCGCTGATCCAAAGCCAGGAGCCAGGTGCTTCTCCTGGTCTCCCATGGGGTGCAGGGCCCAAGTACTTGGGCCATCCTCCACTGCACTCCCGGGCCACAGCAGAGAGCTGGCCTGGAAGAGGGGAACCGGGACAGAATCCGGCGCCCCGACTGGGACTAGAACCCGGCCTAGTGAGCCGCGGCGCCGGCCTGAGTGTGCTTTTCTAATAGGAATAAAGTTACACCAGACTTGGGAAGACGGCTCCAGCAGGCATCACGGATGGTGGTGCCCAGGGCAGCTGTGCTATCTGCCTTGCTGGCCTCAGAGAGAGCCTTTGGGCCCATCGGATCTCAGCCCACATGAGCTGAGAGCCAGCGTTGTGGTACAGTGGGTTAAAGCACCACGTGGGATACTGGAGGTCTGGTTCAAGTCCCGGCTGCCCCGCCTCTGATCCAGCTCCCTGCTAAAGCACGTGTGGGAGCAGCAGAGGGCGACCCCAGTGCTCGGGCCCTTATCACTCTGGATCAAGTTCCAGGCTCCTAGCTTCCGCCTGGCCCCCCACCCTCCAGCCATTGCAGCCATATGGGGAGTGAACCAGGAGAGACCTGTCTCCCTCAGTCACTAATCTTTTTAACAAAATTTTAAAAAACCAAAACCAGCCGGCGCCGTGGCTCAATAGGCTAATCCTCCACCTTGCGGCGCCGGCACACCGGGTTCTAGTCCCGGTTGGGGCGCCGGATTCTGTCCCGGTTGCCCCTCTTCCAGGCCAGCTCTCTGCTGTGGCCAGGGAGTGCAGTGGAGGATGGCCCAGGTGCTTGGGCCCTGCACCCCATGGGAGACCAGGAAAAAAAGCACCTGGATCCTGGCTCCTGCCATCGGATCAGCGCGGTGCGCCGGCTGCAGCGGCGGCCATTGGAGGGTGATCCAACGGCAAAAGGAAGACCTTTCTCTCTCTGTCTCTCTCTCTCACTGTCCACTCTGCCTGTCCAAAAAAAAAAAAAAAAAAAAAAAACCAAAACCTTTTTTTAAATTAGCTTTCTTTGACCACAGAAACTAGGCCAGGCCTCCCCTGAATCAGATTATACTGATTACAATTAATCACAAATATCTTTAATTTCATGAAAAAGTTAGCTGAGGATAGTCCATGCTGGGCCTACACTGAAAGCAAAACAGAAAACTTCTTGATTTACTTCTTGTGCAGCTAAGATCTGATTTGGGGCTGGGGGTCCCCCCAATGCTGTTGCTCTGCCGATTTGACCCTTGGCTCCCACCAGCTCTGGGAACCTGAGAAGAGGGGTAGAGAAGGCATGTGGCAAGCAATCACAGCCAGCTACACCAGAGAGGTCTTGGCAGTGGCCAGTTTCTGCCGCCCAGCACACCTGCAGCACCCCCAGGCCTGTACGGCGCCTACACGCAGCAGGGACTCCACATCTGTGGGCATTTCATTGAACACCTTATCCACCGTCTCAGCTTCAACACAAGCAAGAGCGGTGCATCTGCGTCTGCCTAAGCAGAAGCCAAGAAGCCCTCTTTAGGGAAAGCTGACACTTCAGATCCTGCTCACTGTCGGGCGAAGGGTGGAGCAGGTGCAAACCCGGGAGCCACTGCAGAGGGCAACAGGCTTTCATTTAAAAGCGCTGGGCTTGAACCAGAACCACTTGCACTTGTCCAGGTCCTCTGTGGCTAGACCCGGTGGAGTAAACCAGTTTAGTGCTGGTGAGCAGTGGGGGCTTTTTAAACACATGCCCTGGGGCGTCGTCTCCAAGTGCTTGAAGGTTAGTTATGGGTGTTCATCGTTATTCAGTTGATCTCTTTAATCTGGGCACCCAAAATGATTTAATTAACTGGTTTTTTGAATATTGCAAGTCATTTCAATTTTTCTCTTAACCTGACAGTTCAGTTCAGGCAGACCAGGCCTTTATATCGTGGCAACAGAAGGGTCTGCCGTCTGAGGCTTTTTGCCCCCATCCTGTTCCTCCCTGCAGCTCCACGCCCATCATGGTCAGCTGTGTTCTCCCAGTGCAGCATCTGATGGGACAGCCCCCTTTCTCAACCCAGTCTAACAGCAAAGACAGCACAACAGCACCAATGACAGCCAAATACTGCCGTGAACACTGCCCGATGCCGGCAGCACGCACGTTCATCTAAGCTGCTTTGTAAGAACGTGTCCACACTCAGCGATGTGAACACCACTTACTGTGCACAGTGGCAGGAAAGAGGCTGCAACTGCTGTATTGCACAAGTGGGAAGTCTTGCCTATCAAAGTCTGCCCGCAACCTTTCCTGCAAGGACAGGCCGGCACCACGGAAGCTTCTGCTGCTCCCAACAGAACCTCCGCTCCAGCGCCTGGACTCGCCCACTCCCCTCTCCCCTCACTCATCTGCTTCTACTCCAACCTCCCTGCCCCTCTCCCACCTGTCTCCCCAGGTGCTCAGCATCCCTGTGGAGCTCCCCAGCACTGCCTCCAGCAGACCCTTCTAGAAGCTCACGGACTACTCAGTGACCATAATAAGCATATCAACATACCATTTCTGGACGTGGGAACTTCAGGAAATAAATACGGGAAGCAAAGTGCCACAAAAAGGTCACCATGGGAGTGGCAGAGGGTTCCTGTTTCATTTACAAAACAATTATCAAGAAAAATACCATCAAAACCCAAGTATGTTACCCACCTGATTGTCAGGAAGGTGTGAAAAGGGTGGTGGCAGCCTGAGCCTCCTGCAAATTCTGTGATGGCTTTGAGGATCCCACCAGTTAGAGTCCCCTTTTCAACTTTCCTCAGCAGGTTGGCTGCCTCCTCAGTGAAACTATACCCTCCGCCCCAAGCTGGACCACTTGGGCTGCCGGATCAGAGTCCACAAAATGAACCTTATCCAGTACACAAAACAGAAAGCCAGCTCATTTTTTTATTGTTTTATTTGGGAAAAGTGCTTCTTACAAAAGGGCAGCTGCAAAATACAGAGACCTCTGCAACAATTACTGTTTTTTTTCTTAAAGTGAAAGAATGGGTGGGATCCAAGGAATCAAAGCAGTGGATGGACAAGGCAGGAACATCTCCAAGTATTTTCAGGATTCAGGAAACAGAGCAACAAAATGCAAAGGTAAAATGGCCCATGGGGAATTCTAGCAAATGAACTTGAGTTTGTCTCGTGGATGACCACCCACCCCGCCCCAGTGGAAAAGTAGGACTTCTGACTGCAAACCAGTTACTCCACTACAAAAAACACCTCAGGACATAGATTTGAATCACATCTGTCTACTTGCAAAGCTCAGGGGTGGAATGAGGCAAATACCCACAAAAACAAACACGAAACCCAACAATAAAACTCCTCAAATGAGGACAAAGATTTTTCCAAAAAGTGCCTGGACTGAAAAGGCTAGGTCATTAAACATTAAATACAACTGTGTTTCCAAGACCCAGTTTGTGTTAACATACAGGATCCCCAGGTGGTTCTCACCTCTATGGCTAACCCCATTTCTAGTTACGCAGACAGAGCGAGCTAGCACTGCTACACTAATTAACCACTACCCACAGAACCGCTGCGTCCTGCAGGGTCTACCTGAAACCACTAAACCAAGGCTAAGAATACTGCACCTATGCAGGGACGACAAGCTTCTCTCTCTCTCTCTCTCACACACACACACACACACACACACTCACACACACACACTCACTCACTCCCTCCCCAAGTCTATCAGCCCCTGGAGTCACTCCCACTCTCAGACGCGGTTCTTCAACAACCTTCCTATCACGCTGAACAGTGGAATCACAAACGCCTCCAGCACACTCGCGCCTGGTCCGGGTTACTCAGTAGTATTACTTGTGTGCAATTCAACAGGAGACGAACCACAGACCAAGTGCACGTGGTGGAGACCGCAGGGAAAAGAACAGATAAAAACATGTGCAGATTTCACCAGGACCCGGGTCCGCCTCCTGCGCCCCGCCAGCTCAGGTCCCTTCACCCGTCACCCCCAAAGAAGAGCCAGTGCTTTTGTTTGAACCTGGGAGTCCTCAAAGAGTGCAGAAAGACCATAAACACAATCTGGTTGAGAACAGATGACGCAACAAACCTATGCTACCTGTTTGATAAATTCATGTTACCAAAAAAAAAAAAAAAAAAAAACTAACTTTAAGATTTATTTTTGTAACTTTTTGAAACAGAAAACAACACACTCCTTGGGGAAAGGTAAGGGGTGGAGGAAGACAGGCCCTGGGAAGAATGATCACGACAGCACCTGGAGTTGAAAGGCCTGCCTAGGAGAGGAACACACACTGCCACACCAGCTGGGGCACAGTTCCCACGCCACACAGAGCCGCTATAGATCCAAGTCGTAAAAATCTTCCAGCTCATCATGAAACAAGTCCCACTCATCTTCAGAGTCTGTCAGCTCGTCGTCCCCGCCTGCGGCCAAAAGCATAAGCAACATCTCGCCCAGCTCAAAGGTGACAACCTCCTCGTCGTTGTCAAAGGGGCTGCTGTTCTCTCTTTCCTCAATGAGCTCCCAGAAGTGGTTCCTTCGTTGGGCCTGTAAGAAACAAGGCCGTGATAGGGATGGCACTGTCCAGTCTTCTATTGTGCTGTTAAAGGCAAACACGTCCAGCACACCAGAGGGCACGGCGCATCAGACTTCTGACTTGGGGTTTCCACTTTACCAACTCCTCCCCTCGGGTTTAGGCTAGAGCTTCCGCACCGCTTGCCTCCGCTCCTAACCCTCCCGGTTCTCTGGGGTCCGTCTCCTCCTTTAGTGCTCTGGTCTCACTCCCAGACCTGAGCGTCCATCTTCTCCTGCCCCGACCCCAACACGTGCGGGACTCAACGGACATCGTGGTATTTCCCCTCTAGAAAAACAGTGACAGTTACCCGGTATCTGCTTGATGTTCCCACTTTCTGCCTCTGTGGCTCCTCTCTACGGCCATCAGGGTACGCATGCTTGTAAAAACAGTTCCCTCCAAATGGGCAGCTCCCACGTCCTTCATCAAAATACCTGCACGCCTTGTTGCTGGAAAGGAAAATATCGCAACCCTTATTCACGGTGGATTTCAGGTCTGCATGTGACTATCATCCGGGGCTTCTTTAAACAGCTAGGGATAGAACCGTAGGCCTGCTCACAGCCCTCCCCACAGCCGTGTGCGCTAATGCACGAAGCGCTAACTAGAGACAGGCGCTCGGTTCCCAGTCTAGGCTGTTACCAGCTCTAGTACCGCAGATCCAGCAGAGACAAACTCTTCTAGAAAGCCAACACAGGAGAATTAACAGAACAACGATGGCATGGACTGAGGGTGAGGCAGCACCCCACTCTCGGGGGGGGGCTTCAGCTATCGGCACACACGGTTCCTCGGCACGCGCCACACCAAGGTGCACACTGGGTGTTATCAGGGTAACAAAACAAACCGTACTGGGAAGGGAAAGCAAGGGCAAGAAGGAGGTAGGAGTAGGAACGCAGCACCGTTCCTTCCAGCGTAGCCGGGCGCCGCCCAGCTCTCGGCTGCGGCGCTCATACCTCATGGCCTCCTTGTATTTCTGAATGAGTTTCTGCTTCTCTTCTTTCTCCTCCACCCAGTACTCACTTGGAATGACAAAGTTAGATGTGATGCGGCATTCTGGGCAGGACCTGGGGAACAATGAACAGGCTGCAGTGCAAACCCCTCAGGGCCCACACCCTGGTGTGGCCTGAGAGGCACTGGGCTCCCTGCAGGGGGTCCCCACTGGCACAACTCTTTCATAAATGCACCTCCACGGCTAGCCAGTGAAGACAGAAAGACATTTCACACAGACTCCTTTTTCTTTCGTTTGAATAGATTTATTTCTTGTAACTTTGCTCTGTTTGGATTATGTCGTTTTTGTTCAGTTATGAGGACAATCTTTAAAGGATGGAGGAGTGTCGGCTAGCTTAATGGATGGAATAGCAAAGTGGAGATGTAAAACGTCAAGAAGCATACATTCAGAGCCAGGTGTTTTCACTGAGCCTACGCTGGCTAATCCACTAGACACAATCTCCTCAGGAAAAGCACGAAGATTCTACTGACTGACACACAGGGTTTCCTCATTCAAATTAACGAAGACCAACTAAGCTAGAAGCCAGCTGAAATACAAAGAAGAAATCCCAATTACTTGACTGCCCCAGTCTCAAGATAAAATGCATGCACTTAAATGCGGTCCGTCTGGTTGGAGTTGGCACAAGATACTAAATTCTTCCCCACAACAGAAAGACTGGGGAGGAGTCTCACTTTATGATCTTGCTCTCAAACTGCTTAGCACTCCTCCACTTGCGAATGCACTTGAGACAGTAGGTGTGGCTGCAGTTGGAGAGGATCCCAAAGCGGCGCTCGCTGGGGTTGGCTTTCTCGTAGACCACCTCCATGCAGATGCCACACACCATGTCCTTGCTGCGCTGCACCGCGAATGACAGCTCCATGTCCTTCTCATGGGCCTCGATGCAGGACTGCAGGGAGCAGAGAGACCAGAGCGGCGTCAGGCACTGGCATTGCCGCTGCACGGTCACACGCAAGGTGAGCCTTGCTCACAGCCGAGGCCGGGTGCAGGACGTCACGGGGCTTTACAAGAGCAGAAAATCAAGCCACGAGGACGCGGCCTCAGAGCCTTCTCTTCCCCAAGCCCACACCCCTGCCACACCCGCGGCAGACGGCTTTTCACGCCAGAGAACGTACTTGGGGTTACGGCCTGTCAGCAAGTCCAGGTGCAGACTCCCACGTCATCAGTGACAATTACACGGCTGTGTCCAATGACAGCTTTACTGAGACAATCCGCACACGACACAACTCACCCATTTAAAACATACGGTCAGTTTTCAGAGCGTGCAGTCGTGCATCACTAACGTCCCTATCAATATTCTGGTCACCTCAGAAACCCAGACTTGGGCAACCCAACTTGCCAGAAAGACACAGCTCTGTTTACAGCGTGCTGTGGGGATGCAGTATCAGTACTGTTTCTTTACTGCTAGGACTCCGTCATGTGAACGCCAGTCTCTGTACCCACTCATCAGATGGCCTGCGTCAGAGCTGCTGACACTTGGGACGTGTCTAAGTAACACCCACAAGGACACTCACGTACAAGTGTTCCTGTGGCTATCACACTTCTTTACTCTGCAAGAAACAGTAGTATAGAAAAGTAGCAGAAGCCACCCAGAACCCACATCACCACCTGCTACTACTAGGGCCGCAGAGGCAGGCACCACTGCTGCCAACACAGCTGGGTTGCAGGGCCTCACCCGTCTGCCTCCACCCACAACTAGCTGTGGTGAGGGGTGCTCACCCCGTGCCTTCTCGATGCCTCACTCAGTAAGCGGAGACGGAGATGATTAAACTCAACAACCCCCTGCACGTGCTCAGTGAAGCCTGGTGCAGTGCAGTTAGGAACCTGAAAGGCAGCTCCTGTCGGGAGCACGGCAGCCACATACGCCTGCAATTCAACTCCCAGCTGCAGGCTCAACAGAAACGAACTCACACACGAACGTTCACAGCACTCTCATCCGCAACAGCCGGAAGGTACGTGGAACAACAGGCATGCCCATGGAGAAGCTTGGACTGGAAACAGTGTGCAAAATCAACAGTCCCAAAAGCCTGCTGCTCCCGGTCCACACAGACCAGTTGCTGCCTGGAGCTTGGGGGGTGGGGGGGGCGGCGGCTGCTAACGGGCATGGGGCTTCTTTCCTGAACCTGAAACTAGAGCGGCACTAAGAGTCTGGGACTCTGCAAACCCAGGAAGCGCTCACTTCTGGAATGACACAGGCACTTACTTTTATGTGCTGAGAGCGCTGTGCGGTGTCCACCGGGTGCAGGACCTGCAGCCCACACATGTCGCAGGAATCCCCGTGGAGATACACACAGTTCTCCCCGTAGCGGCACTCGCCCACCGCAGCGTAGGGGCAGAGCTGCTTCTTGGTTTCCGCGGTGGTCTGCTCCTTCTCGGGTTCGGCCGGGGTCCCTGAGCCCTGCGGGGGTGCTTCAGTGCAGGAGGAGGAAGCTGCAAATGTGCAAGAGGCGAGGAGGCCCAGGTGGATAAGGACACCAGATACCAACTACAAGGGAACCGGGAACCTAACTGCAGAGAAACACACAGAGCTTCAACCCAACTCCAAACAGCCCAGCGAACTGATCTCTTCATTCTTGAAAGAAACGAATCCTCTAAGGCTGATTTTTCCAAAATCAGCTTCTTTATGTATTTCCTGTGTAACTGAAGTTTATTTATTCTCAGAATACTTACTACGGCCACAGTAGGGCTGCCCAGGAACAAACTCGATGGCATTGGCCCAGTCCTCTGAACCTGCTCCCAGCGCTGCCAAGTGTCCACTTGACTCCGCTTCGCCTGCGTTCATTGCAGCACGTGGTGCAGCTGCTGAAGGGAGACTGGACGAAGCCGCAAGGGAAGCTTTGGCGGTTAGCTCTGCAGCGGTAGTGTCTTCCGGTTCCAATGGCTTGCTGTGCTCATACCTCGGAAACAGGAGAAGGAGGCAGTCACCATGGGGACAGTCCCTGGCAGAAATCTAAACCTGCAAACGCAGAGTGCAGCCTACAGCCCTGCCTATCTGCAGGACCCCATGTGATGCTGATACTACTGGGTCCAGAGACTACACCTGAGTAGCACAGCCTTGAACTAGGAATCAGAGTTAAATACAGAAATGTCACAGCGACAACTCTACCACTGGCTTAAAGGCATGTACACCCGCAGGTTACAATAAATGCTCCCTGACAAAACAGCCCGTGGCCAGCACCCCTGCTGTGAACGTACTACTCTTCAAGTTCTACTCCACCTACCAAGAGCCCCGGGCACCCGGGAATTCCTGAAGTAACACCGCTAGAAAGGCTGTGCAGCCAAACTGATTCAACAAACGGGAGGGGCTCGGCACTGCCTAGGCCACCACTCGGAAGCCGCATCCCGCGGCCCCACTTGGGAAGCTGGGGTAGTGACCCAGTGGATGGGATGTCTGTCTGCTGTCTCCCTCTCTGGCTCCTTCCATGAGAACTTACATTAACTCCCCTCCTTCTCCTCTGTAAATCATTAACTGCATCTCCAAATACAGAAAAAAGCCTTCTGCTTCCTCCAGAAGAAACTTGCTGCCTGAGAAAACCTCACACTCTCTCAGCAGGTCATGCTGCTTCGCTCAGGCACAGTCACTCACGCACACAGTAACCGTCAACTGTGCGTTAACTGGGAGTACTAGTACGCACCTAGCTGATCTTACAAGGAAGCAAGCAACTCACGGGTCCTCTGTCCCAGGTGCCTGTGTTTTATAGGGAAAAGTAGTAAAGGCAACGACGTCGGTCCTTCAGCCTGCTGCAGAGCTGACCTTTAGTATGACTATAAATCTTAAACATCCTTTTTGCTTCTCTTACACAAATAACCTACCTGGCCCCACAGTAAGATTCCAAGGGTCATGCTATCAGCTGCAAAACCAAGGCAATTCTGCTTTGCACAGTGAAATCAGGAGAGCTGAAGGGGAAGAAACTACCAGGAACTTGCTGTTCCTGTCATCACAGAACCGAAGAGCGTAACCTTTCCAGAGAAGATGTGGGGGCCAGCGGGTGCTGTGATGCAGCCGGTAAAGCCGCTCCCTTCAGTGTCTGCATCCCATATGGGCGCTAGTTTGAGTCCCAGCTGCTCCACTTCCGATCCAGCTCACCATTAGGGCCTAGGAAAGCAACTGTGCCTGCATGAGAGACCTGGAAGAGGCTCCAAGGCTCCCAGCTCCAGATCTGGTCCAGTTCCAGCTGTTGTGGCCATTAGGGGAGTGAATCAGCAGATGGAAGACTCTCTGCCTCTTGATTAAATAAATGTTGAGTGCGCGAGAGAGATGTGGACTGAAGTTCCCATAGTGTGACTAAAGCTACTCTGCCCGATGCTGCAACAACTGGCCACACCTGGCTATTTTATACTTACTTAAAATTTAAAATTCTGTTCTCTTAGCCATGGGTGTGTAATTATATAAAGACAGACAGCCAGTGACCTGGCACTGTGGCGCAGGAGGTTAATGCCCTGGCCTGAAGTGCTGGCATCCTATATGGGTGCAGGTTTGAGTCCCAGCTGCTCCACTGCCAATCCAGCTCTCTGCTATGGCCTAGGAAAGCAGAAGATGGCCCAAGTCCTGGGCCCCTGCACCCACATGACAGACCAGTAAGAAGCTCCTGACTCCGTACCGGCACAGCTTTGGCCGTTGTGGCCAATTTGGGAGTGCACCAGCGGATGGAAGACCTCTCTTTCTCTGCCTCTCCTCTCTCTGTGTAACTCTGACTTCCAAATAAATAAATCTTTAAAAATAAAAATAAAAAAAGGACAGCCAGCCAGAGAGCTCCCATCTTCCTTGTTCACTCCCCCAAATCTGGCTGGACCAAAGCCCAGGGCCAGGACCACCACCCAGGTCCCTCCCAGGCACCCAATCACTTGGGTCATCTCTGCCTTCCAGGGTCTGCACCAGCAGGAAGCCACATCTCTATACCAGATGCCTACGACGTGTACTTAACCTTGACCTTAAGACAAAAGAGTATTTCCATTATTTCATAAAGTTCTGCTGTATGGCACCACCCTAGAAGTTAGAGCTGCAAGGACCCCAAGAGCCTCACTTTTCAGATAACCCAGCCCCTGGTTTGAACAAGAATTCCAGAAAATGTTATTTTCACAGCCTTTAAATTAGGAAAACCTGGGCTTTAGAATGAAGACAGAATTGATCTAAAAATGCCAGCGCCACCTTAACACAGCTTAAATGATAGGATTCATAAGGTGTCTAACCCATAGATAACACCCATTTTAGTGCCCTTTCTCTTTTCCTTTGCTTATCCACTTAACCAACTGCAGGGTTAATGATTCAAAACATTACTTACCAGACAGGACTCGAATGTTCCAGGTTCTCTAATTATTAAACTGAAAATACTGCAAAGTTTTGAAGGAGTCCATTTTGGCTCTACAGTAAAATCAAGGAATCAACACCTACCAGGGGCTGGCATTGTGGCAAAACAGGGTAAGCCACAGCCGCTGACACCAGCAACCCCTATTAATGCCTTTTGAGAGTCCCAGCTGCTCACTTCCAATCCAGCACCCTGCTAATGCACCTGGGAAGGCAGCACAAGATGGACCAAGTGCCTGGGCCTCTACACCCATGTGGGAGGCCTGGATGGAGTTCCAGGCTCCAGCTACTGCAGCCATGTGAGGAGTAAACCAGCAGAGGGAAACGTCTCTCTAATTCTACCTTTCAAATAAATGAATAAATATGCAATATATTTCTGTACACACGAGTCAGTGCTGTGGTACAAGCTGCTAAGCCCACCTGCAGCGCCAGCACCCTACAAGGGCGCTAACCTGAGCCCCAGCTGCCTCACTTCTGACTCCGCACCCTGCTGCTGATTCGGGAAAGCAGCGGAGAACGTCCCCACTCTCGGGCCCCTGCACCCATGTGGGAGACCCGGAGAACCTCCTGGCTCTGGCTTCAGCCTGGCCCAGCCCTGGCTGTTGAGGCCATCTGGGGAGTGAGCCAGCGGATTGAGGATCTCTAACTGCCTTTCAAATAAAATAATAAGGGCAGGCATTTGGTACAGCAGTGGCTGCTTGTAATGCCTGGGTCCCCCCGGGACTGCCTTGATTGGAATCCCTGCCTCTGCTCCCAGCTGCAGCTGCCTGCTAATGGGCACCCTGGATGGAGGCAGAAGGTGAGGTGCTAGGACCCCACCACGAGGGAGATCTGGACCGAGTTCCTGGCTCCTGGGAACCTGGCTTCAGCCTGGCCCAGATCTAGCTGATGCAGAAATTTGAGAGGTGAATTGGCAAATGGAAGATCTGTCTCTTTCACACTACCTTTCAAATAAATAAATAAAGCTTCAAAAAAAATAACTTGATAGTATAAACTGCTATCTAAGAAACAGGAGATGAGGCCAATGATGCGGCATAGCAGGTAAAACCACATGGTGCCGGTTCGAGACCCAGCTGCTCCACTTCCTATTCAGCTCTCTGCTGTGGCCTGGGAAGGCAGATGACCTGCATGGGAGACCTGGAATAAGCTCCTGGCTTCAGATCAGCCCAGCTCCACCAATCACGGCCATTGGGGTAGTGAACCAGTAGATGGAAAATCTCTGCCTCTGCCTCTCTGTAACTCTGCCTTTCAAATAAATAAAATCTTAAAAAAAAAAAAGAAGAAAAAAGATTTCCCTCTGGCTTGCTCACAATGCACTAGCGCCATTGCGTCAATGGGCCAATACTTGCCTTCAATCATTTTTATTTCTGGAGTCCTTCTGTAGATCTCGGTCAAATCTCCAAAGCAAACAAGTCAACCATGGCAGTATCACCCCTTTACCCTGAGGTGTCCAGAAACAAAGACTGGGAGTTCCACTGGCCAGAACTCCTAGAGGTGGGGCAAAGGGCTGGTCTCACAAGATAACAGCACCACCATGACCAAATACTGATGCAGTAGCACTTCTGAACAGTGCAACTATGATGTCACCTTTCATTATTAACTATCTCCTCCCTCTATGAGCTGTTAAATTATTCCCTGGACATTGGACAAGTTGCATAAAAGGATCCTTGCAAAGTAAGAGAAGTAGGCTTAAGCCCAAAGTCTATGGATGTATTTTTTTTTTGAGAGAGATATACAAAGAGGGCTCTCATCAGCTGGTTTACTCTCCAATTCCTGGGCTGGGAGCTTACTCCAGGTCTCCCATGTGGGTGGCAGGGACCCAACTACTCCTAGGGTGCACATCAGCAGGAAGCTGGAACGGGGAGCAGAGCCAGGACTCAGCCCTGACAGAGGATGCCTGTTACTTGCTAGGCCAAACAAGCAGTCCTGGAGCAAGCCCCTCTGAAAGATTCCTCCTGGGGCTGGCACTGTAACCGTCACCTGCAGTGCTGGCATCCCTTGGGTGCTCAGGTTCCCATCCAACTCCCTGTTAATGTGCCTGGGAAAGCAGTGGAGGGTGGCTCAAGCGCTTGGGCCCCTGCACCCACATGGGAGACCTGGAAGAAGCTCCTGGCTCCTGGCTTCAGCCTGTCCCAGCTCCAGCCATTGAAACAATTTGGGGAGTGAACCAGAGGATGGATCTCTCTATTCATTTGTCTGTCTACCTTTGTAACTCTGCCTTTCAAAAGAAATAGAATACTTAATTTAGCTAGTCTAAATCAAGCTTTTTAATAATCGCCTATTATCTCCCAGTCCTAAACAATTCTCAGGCTTTCAGGTAGTCAGACAGTTCTCCCTAATCCCTTTCACTTTAGCCTATCAGCTCAAAGTAGGATCACCCTCTGGAACCCAGGGTATTTAATGTGGGATGGAGTTCTGACAGCTTTTTCTCCCTTTACTATTGACTACAGAAGACATGTCTAGTATTTTAAAAAACTTTATATACTATGACTCACTCCCCAAATGGCCCACCAATCAAGAGTCAGGCTGAAGCATGGAGCACAGAACTCCACCTGGGTCTCCCTCACTGGGTGGCAGGGCCCAAGCACGTGGGCCATCTGCTGCTGCTTTCCCAGGCGCATCAGCAGGGAGCTGGCCCCAGACAGGAAGCAGAGCAGCTGGCACCGAAGTGGGTGCTCATGTGGAACCTCAGGCGGTGGCTTAACGTACTGAGCGGGGCCAATACTGGCCCCCACAGCTGGTCTTTTTTTTGGAGTGTCATTTTCTTCCCTTTACAGTAATATTGAACAAAGAATTAGCAGAGAACAAAACACTACTAAACTCAGGTATCGGGGCCCATTTCCGAGCTTACATGAAAGGTTTTCCTCTCCATCCTTACTAAAGTTTCAAACATACTTAGAATGACGTATCATTAACATCGCACCAATCAATAGTTTCATATTCTTTTGAAGTCAAGAGTTAGGACAATTTCACTAAAATTGGTTGACACTGCCGAAGTCTTACCAGTGCGGAGTGTATTCTTTGACACGTCTCCCTTTAAAAGGTGGAGCCCATTAATCTCTCTCGAATGTAGGCTGGACTTCGTGACTTAGTCTGGAATTCAGCAGAAGTGACAGTGCCTTCCGTGACTAGGTCATAGAAGGCATTATGGCTTCTCCTTGCTCCTTGCTGGAGTTGCTGGCTCCGGGTAAAGCTAAAGAACCCTCACAGGATGTTTGCCTGTGGCAAGTAACTAAGGTCTCCAGTCAACAGCCAGAGTGAATCACCCTAAAGTGACCCTCCAGCCCCCGTGAGCCCTCGGCCACCTGGTCAAGCCACTCAGACCCAAGACTCCCAGAAACCATGTGAGGTAATCAGTGCTCCCTGGTTTAGCCTCCTAAATCTGGGAGCCATTTATTAACACCAACAGATAACCAACACACCTGGACATTTTCTGAACTGGTAAGATAGAACGGTTCTATTCAGTTTCTAGACAGAATGCACTACCTGGCACAAATTCAATCAATCACGGCAGAGATTACCTAGTAACTAACCCCTCTTGGCTCTACCTCTGAGGTTCACAGGGGGATGCCTGAAGCTGCCCTGAACCTCACAACTGGTTCCCTGAGCCCAGTGTAGACAGCCTGACAACCCTCTTAACTAGCAATCCAAACGTCTACGATCCAGCTCGCTCTAATTCACAGTTGTCCAGTTTGGTCAAAGATGCACCTAATCCTTGGCCTCGAAAAGTCAACGCTCTAATCAAACATAGTTTAACCTTGTTCTAGGCCTCAGTTTAAAAAAGTTGCTCTTTGGGGCCGGCGTCATGGCTCACTAGGCTAATCCTCCGCCCGGTCAGGGCGCCGGATTCTGTCCCGGTTGCCCCTCTTCCAGGCCAGCTCTCTGCTGTGGCCAGGGAGTGCAGTGGAGGATGGCCCAGGTGCTTGGGCCCTGCACCCCATGGGAGACCAGGAAAAGCACCTGGCTCCTGGCTCCTGCCATCGGATCAGCGCGGTGCGCCGGCCGCAGCGGCCATTGGAGGGTGAACCAACGGCAAAGGAAGACCTTTCTCTCTGTCTCTCTCTCTCACACTGTCCACTCTGCCTGTCAAAAAAAAAAAAAAAAAGTTGCTCTTTGGGCATGAATTAAATTCAAGACTATATTACAAGCTCTTTCTTTTAAAGATCTGGGGTTTCTTAATTTTTTTATTTGAAAGGCAGTATAAAAAGAAACAGAGGTCCTTCATCTGCTGGCTCACTCCCCAAACGGCCTCAATGGCCAGAGCTAGGCCTATCTGAAGCAGGAGCTAAGAGCTTCCTTCTGGGTTTCTCACGAGGGTGCAGGGATCCAAGAAATTGGGTTATCCTCGGCTGCCTTCCCAGGCAGGGAGCTGGATCAGAAGTGGAGCAACTGGGACTTGAACCCAGGCCCATATGGGACACAGACACAGCAGGCAGTGGCTTTACCTGCTGCGCAGGTGCTGGCCCTACAAACTCATTTTTTCAACAATGTAATATGCTCCCTCCAAGAGGTTTCTACCAGTGTATCAACATTTCCAATGCATATTTTCTTCCAAGGATTTTTTCCCCCAACCTCCACCCCTGAAAAAAATAAGTAAATTCTTACCTGCAGCGGTCTCCGTAAATACAGTACCCTCGCTGAAAATACTTGCACACTACACCATACGGACTGTCAGAGAGGTCATGCGAGTAGCGACAGTTATCTCCTTCCTTACAAACCCCATGCAGAAAATACCTGCGAGACAAAGGACCACAAAACTGGACTTAGAGCAAAAACAATCCCCAGGATTCAAACATGAAATGAACACAAGATTAGGTAGAACTAGACTGCTTCTCCAGCAAACGACGCACCAGGACTGCAAGTGAGCAGCCCATGGACTGGCACGCCCCTTCAGCTCAACACTGAGCTCGGCCCTCATTTAACAGTCCTAGGAGGAAGGTGCCTTCCTGTTTCTTAGAAATCATTGTAATTCCTGAAAACCCACAAGGAAAATATAAGGAAAACCAGCTGCCAAAGTAAAAGAAAAAGGGAATCACTCTTGCCAGCTGCCTTAAAGGATTGTGTATGCACAATTGGCAGTTTCCAGAAACCAAGCATGAGAATACAGTCAGTGGGCTCCCACCATCAGCACCACTGGGGGAATCTGACAGAAAGGCCAATCCTGAGACCCAACCTGGGGCCCAACAACCTGCATGTCTCCGCGTAACCATGTGGACTCAGGGAATGATGAGGTCTTGGTGGCACGGAGTAAGGCAAAGCAATGAGGTGGAAATGTGGCAGCTGTCTGGGGATGTACAAAGAGCAGTGGATCACATGTTCCACTTGCCCACGAACAGAACACTCCAGAAAACTGAGGCGCAGGTAGCTAAGGGCTCTTGAAGCATCTGAATCTGAAAGGTTCTATTTGGAGATGCTCTGTGCAACAGCAGATGACGTGAAAAATGTGAACAATTTGATGGGAGCATTTATAATGGTCAAGGACATAAGTTCCCTAGGGTGGCAGTCTAACAAGAAACACAGTACAGTCACACCCTCAGATGGTGAGCCTACTCACCTTCCCTCAGCTGAACTTAACCTCACCAGATCTGAACTAACTCAGTGCTACTTCCTGCACCCTTTCGAAGGGTCTGAGCTCTATATTAAGAAAAGCGTTTAATAAAGTTAGATAGTTTGGCTTGGGAAAGAATAAAATTTGTGTTAAACTTGTACCAGATAATTCTTAACTGCATAAATGAAGGGATTAAAAGGCTTAAAAAAAAAAAAAAAAAAAAACTAAACAAGTCAATAACTACATTGTGGGGGCTAACGCTGTGGCGTAGTGAGTAAAGCCGCCGCCTGCAGTGCCGGCATCCCATATGGGCACTAGTTCAAGACCTGGCTGCTCTACTTCCAATCCAGCTCTCTGCTATGACCTGGGAAAGCAGGAGAAGATGGCCCAAGTCCTTGGGCCCCTGCACCCGCATGGGAAGACCCGGAAGTTCCTGGCTCCTGGCTTCGGATCAGCACAGCTCTGGCCAGTTGTGGCCAACTGGGGAGAGAACCAGCTGATGGAAGACTCTCTCTGCCTCTCCTTCTCTCTCTGTGTAACTCTGACTTTCAAATAAATCATTCTTAAAAAAAAAATAACTACATTGTGATGGATGGTCACATTGTAATCCCACTTCAAAGTATCCGCGAATGTATCTACAGCTGCAGACAGGTTACTCAGCCGAAGCCACACCTCTCACATTCCACAAAGATGCCCACCCACTTAATGGTCAGGGTGGTTTGGGCTGTCAGTGTGAGATCAGGGATCAGGGATCAGGGACACGGAGAGACACAGTTTTAAGACTCGATGAAGTATCTACCCAGAGAGCAGAAACTTCAGATTTGTACTCAAACCCTGGTTTGCCATGCCAGGCTCTCCATTCATTCATTCACTGCACTTAAGGTTCTAGGGTGCTCAATTATGTCAAAGTCTCCCACTAATCACCATCCCATAGTTGCTGATCTCTATCCTTGTTTTCTTCAAATACTCAACCCCCTTTACGGCAGAACAGCCAGAGCGTGACCCTTCCTTCATGTTTGCAGCACCTACACTACTTCTGACATCCAGCATGGAGGAAAACTGTTCTTTATCATCAAAATGGTAAGTGACAAGGAGCCAACACAGACCAGCTGGTCTAGGACAGGTTTGTTCTTGCTGGCTCAAACCACAGACCAGTGCTCTACTTTTCGCATATTTTCATATAAAAATATCTGTGAGAAATTATGGATTGAGTTAATCCCATACAAAACAATGCTAAACAAAGCCTACACTCCCATCTTACAAAAAAGGAAAGTGGAGGCCGAACCTCAAGAGATGTCAATCAATTTTACAACCCAAGTCATCCTAATCCATCATTCAGCAAAATGAGCCCTCACTATCCATCCAACACTGTGCAGCAGGCAATAAGGACATGACAGGGAGTGAACCAGACATGGTTCCTGATTGCAAAGAGCCGGAGTGTCTAGTAGGAGGCAGGACAGCAGCCAAAATCATCCTACCAACAAGTGTGCAACTGCAACTGTAACAGGGGCTACAAAGGAAACTTTGGTCCACTCCCCAGATGGCCGCAAAGGCCGGAGCTGCGCCAGTCTGAAGCCAGGAGCCAGGTGCTTCTTCTGGGTCTCCCACGTGAGTGCAGGGCCCAAGGACCTGAGCCATCTTCTACTGCTTTCCCAGGCCACAGCAGAGAGCTGGATGGGGAGAGAGGAGCAGCTGGGACCAGAACCAGCGCCCACATGGGATGCTGGCACTTCAGGCCAGGGCTTTAACCTACTGCGCCACAGTGCCAGCCCCACAAACTGAAGTTTGCCTGGAGACTGGGTGGTGAAATAAACCCCTGCTAACCTACAACAAGGGAAAGAACATTCCAGGCAGAGGGTCAGCATGTGCAAAGGTCCTGGAGTGATGACAGGAAGAGTTAAGAATGAACACGGGGTGTGTGGGGTGACACTGCGCACAGTAAACACCACTGAAGGATCCACAGCAGGGTGCACTGGAGCCGGGTTTAACTTTCCCAACACCATCACATTCAGCCACCTTCCTGGAGACCTGTCTGGACCGCTTCCACGCAAGCCTACCACAGCACTGCAGCAGGCTGAATCAGCAGAGAGCACTCACGGCTGAGCGGCGGCGAGAAGCACAGTTCAAATCAGAAGCTGCTGCTTCGGACAGCTTTGTCACTCACTAGCCGTGCGTGTGTGACCCAACTTGCATGTCTTCACTGTCCCCACCTTCCTTGCACAGCTCTCTGTCCTCTCAGACCATTTCTTGAACATGTTTTTGACAATGCACCTAAGGAAGCTCCTGGCTCCTGTTAGTCCCGGCTCCAGCTGTTATGGACATTTCAGGAGTGAACCAGCAGATGGAAGACCTCTCTCTCTGCCTGTCTGTAACTCTGCCTTTCAAATCAATAAGTACATCTTTAAAGGGAAAAACTCAGGCAACCAAGTGGGCAGGAGCCTAGATATCATGTCAAGACGCTAAGTAGCCAGAAAACAAAGGAATAACCTTTGCGAAGGGAATGAATGTGTGGGATGCGGCATGAAGATCCGGCTCAGTAGCAAGCACTGAGCAATCAGTCAGCTTCCACGCCATCCTATACCCTCCTGAGGTACGGAACCAGCAACACCGCTGCAGTAGATGACCAGCCCCACGTGGCGCCCTGCACGCGCCCGAGCTGTTTCACGGGGTCGTCTGGTCTCTGCCTTGTGCCTTCAGTGACACACTGAGGATGCCCAGAGTTAGCAGATCTTCCCAAAGGCCTCCTTCTGAACCATCAGTACAGGTCTCAGAGATTAGGAGGACTGTGCAACAGATAAGAGGAAAAATGGCGACCAATTTCTAAGAATTCCTTCCCAAAACAATGCCAACAGAAGTAAGTACTTTTGTCTTTTAAGTGCTACTACCAAAAAATCCACCCCAACTCAGCTCAGGGTCCCGGCCCGAGGAGCTTGCCTTGGATGAAAGGCTGAACCGTAGAGTTCCTTCCAGTGTGAGGTTCTGACCCCATGCAGACACCGTCCAGCAGTAAAGACAAATACGGCCCCAGACCCCTCAGCTGCCGGACCTCCAGAAACCTGAACATGGCCATGCAGTCAGAATAAGAACCCCCAGGGAGTGGGCTGTGAGGGCAGGAGAAGCACACGCCACCCCACAGTACCTCAAGGCAGCATAACACTCTCTGGGGATTGCTAAGAATTATAGCTTATCGACTAATGTGGCATTAAAACGATGTTTTTAATCGTATTTGAGCGGCAGAGTGAACAAAGGTGAGCTTCCACCCGCTGGTTCACTACCCAAACGCCCACAGGGGCCAGGAGCTCAGGCTCACCTCCCCGAGCTGTCACCACATTAGCAGGAAACCAGTCAGGAACGCAGCAGGTACTGAACTCAGGTGCTCTGTCGGATAGGGGAGGCAGGCACCTTCACCCCAGGCCAAACTCTACCTCTGTTGTGGGACTCAATGTCTTCCTCTGCTGTGACATTTCTTTGCTGTTTAATTTGATAAGTGTGTGTATCCTGTTTCTCAAAGATTATATATTCCTGGTGGATTAAAAAAACACGGTTTACCTTTGAGAAGGATTTATTTTATTTGGAAGCAGAGTGACAGAGGGGAGACACAGACTCTTCCACCTGCTGGTTCATTCCCCAGATGTGCTCAGCGGCTGGTGTCAGGCCAGGCCCAACTAGGCGTCAGGAGATCTATCTGGGTCTCCTGTGGGTGGCAGAGCCAAGCACTTGAGCCACCATCTGCTGCCTCCCAGGCTTATTAGAGCAGGAAGCTGGACCACAAGTGGGAAGCGACTGGGGTAACCCAGCTTTCGGATGTGGGATGCAGCATCAACAGTGCCCAGCCCACTGCACCAGAACGCCTTCCTCCTGTGGTGCTGAGCTCCCGCGGTACTGGGGTACTTGTAACACAAATGAGAGGAAACAGCCAGGTGACGGTGAATCGTAACACAGCACCTGCAGAGTCAACTCTCTCAACTGTACGCTTCTCAGGCCCCCTCAATGTACATGGCTCCATTTCCCATGCAAATACATTTCACTAGACACCACAGCACTTGTAAAGAACCCCCAGAGGGGCCGGCGCTGTGGTGCAGCGGGTTAACGCTGGCATCCCATATGGGCACCGGTTCTAGTCCCAGCTGCTCCTCTTCCAATCCAGCTCTCTGCTGTGGCCTGGGAAAGCAGCAGAAGATGGCCCAGCTTGGGCCCTGCACCCGCATGGGAGACCAGGAAGAAGCTCCTGGCTCCTGGCTTCAGATCGACGCAGCTCCGGCTGTTGCAGCTATCCGGGGAGTGAACCAGCGGATGGAAGACCTCTCTCTCTGTCTCTACCTCTCTCTGTAACTGTCTTTCAAATAAATAAAATAAATCTTAAATAAAGAATTCCTGGCCAGCGCCGCAGCTCAACAGGCTAATCCTCCACCTGCGGCGCCGGCACACCAGGTTCCAGTCCCAGTCAGGGCACCAGATTCTGTCCCGGCTGCACCTCTTCTAGTCCAGCTCTCTGCTGTGGCCCAGGAGTGCAGTGGAAGATGGCCCAGGTCCTTGGGCCCTGCACCCACATGGGAGACCAGGAGGAAGCACCTGGCTCCTGGCTTCTGATCAGCGCCATATGCTGGCCGCAGCAACCATTGAGGGGGTGAACCAATGGAAAAGGAAGACCTTTCTCTGTCTCTCTCTCACTGTCCACTGTCAAAAAAAAAAAAAAAAATTCCTAGAAAGATTCTTTATTTTTAAGCTATGTTAAACACTTCAAATTTTTAAAAAAAATGCTTGACTGTGTATTACTTCAAGTGCCAGAACTCTTCTGTCACTACAAAAGCTCTAATAAAGCATTGCCTAAACTGAAATTTACAATTTGCAGATTATAACTGTACCTAAATTATTAACTGTTTCCAATCCTACATACTCAAGCAAACAAGTTTGCCACAGCATCCTCCTAATAAAAAATATGAAAGCAAGCAGCCTGCTGGTGGCAGCATGATACAGTTGCTAGGAAAGGCAGTCAGGTTTCTCCGGGGCTGCAAACTAAAACACATTGCCAGAGTAACATTGAGAAAACAGAAACCAACAGGAAGTAGATGCTTCCCAACAATTTAACACAAACATGCGACCTTGAATTCTCTCTGGCTACCAAACATGCTGGAAATATGTACTCATATGTACTCACATGTAGGACTGTCTCCCCCATAACTGGTGCTCAAGGGTGATTTACTCAAAGGTACACAATTCAGTCCTTTGTCTGCAAATCTGTAAGTTTGGGGGATTTTTTGGGGGACCAGTCTTGCTTTTGCTACTGTTTTTTTAAATGCTTTATTCATTTTTGTTTACCTGAAAAGGCACAGCTAAAGAGGGACACATTATCTTTCATTTGCTGCTTTAGTCCCCAGATGCCCACAACAGCCAGGGCAGGGCCAGGCCAAAGCGAGGGCTAAGAACTCCACTCAGGTCTCCAAGGAGAGTGACTAGGACTCCGAACCTGAGGCCTCCCAGGGTGCTGGAGGCAGAGTTGATTCCAGACATCCCATCACCACACCATGCCCACCCCATGACCCCACTTTTTGAAGGAGATCAGAGGAACCTTGCAAGTTCATTCTGAAGTCATTTTAGGTAAGACCTTATCAATTCAGTATTTTACAGCGGGAAGGCTGCATACGGGCTGCTGCTGAACCCATCGTGCCCCTAGGTAAAATCACAGGCAATCGCACTGGGTCTTGGCCAAAGAACCCCCACTGGCCCACCCCAAGTTCCCAAAGGAAGCGAAGAGGAGCGCTGGGTCTGTACACGGGGCTAAGGTTTCTCATGACAGTGGTGCGAGCTAGGGAAGGGGACCAACAAGGAGCAGCACCTGCAGGCAGAGAGCAAAGTAACAATGCACTGTGTACGGGGCTGCCAACGTAGGGTGGGCAGAAAAGCGGAGAGCTCCCGTCGTCACGGGCCGACCGGCCCGGCCACCCCGGGACGCGGCACTGCAGAGCACACACACAAAGACGGAGCAGGAACCTCCCTCCCTCCCTCCCTCCCCGGGCGACAGCTCCTGCTCCCAGGAGGATGTACAGGGCGACACCTGGGATGGCTCAGCATCCCCTTATAGGAAGAAGCGAGCCGTCTGCCCGCCTCTCACGTCACCACGCTGAGACAGAGGGTCCAAACGTTATCACCACCTCGCCGTCCCTACCACGGCAGCGACTTCTGCACAGCGTCCAGGTGGAATCCGGCCTTCCCACAGGCAGAGAAAGGCTGGCAGGCCCTGCCGAGCACCCCGAAACACCCGACCCAGAGCCCTCCCCAGCGCACATGCGTAACCGCCAGCCACTCGCCCCCAACCTCGCTATTATCTCCGTCCGAACCCCAAACCCGACCAGTCCCCCGGGGTCCCCGGCGGGGGCGGGGCGCGTGAATTTCAGGACCCCACCCCCACCCCGCGCCGGGACCAGGGTCACAATGGCAGCCCACCAACCCCCAGGGCCCCAGGGCGGAGGGGACGACCCCGGCGCCCTGCCCCCCGCCCCAAGACAAAGCTCGGAACCGCCAACCTCCGCACGCACGCACCAAAGCAGGGACACAAAAGCCGGGAGGGGCGGCGGCGGCGGCCGGGAGACGTTCCACGAGCGGAGGGCCGCGCCCGGCCCGAGTCCCCCGCCTCCCCGAATGGCGCTGGCCGCCGGCTCCGGCCAGGGCGCGCGGCCCGGCCCGCCGGGGGTTGACGCAGCCGCGAGCGGGCCGCCGGGGGTCGCCCGGCCCCGCAACGTCCCCCTCACCTGCAGGTGACCTGCTTGGTCCAGCCGCCGCCGCCGCCGCCGTCGCTGCCGCCGCCCCCTCCTCCCGCCCCCGGGCCCGGGGCGGCGCCCGTGAGGAGAGGGGCGGGGGAGGCCGCTGCCGCTCCTGCTCCCGCTGGTGTGGCTGTTGTTCCGGGAGCCGCAGCCTCCGCCATTACTGTTTATCCCACACAGCAGTGGCCCCGGAACTTCCGGGATCACATAGTTCCGGTCCGGCTGCGGGAGGCCGAGGCGGCGAGGCGCGGCGCCGGGAGGGGACGGAGGCTGAGGCGCCGCCGCCGGCCCCGCGTCGCGTCTCCGAGCGCTCTCGCCGCTCTCGCCGCGGGCCGGAGCGCGCGCGCGCGGCCCGCCCCCGCGCCGCTGATTGGCGGGCGGGCGGCGGGGCGGGGCCGGCCAGGTGCGCCGGGGCGCGGCGGGGCGGGGGCGCGGGGCGCGGGTGGACACCGGCCAGGGCTTGCGGGCTCGTCCCCCCCCAAGTGATGACGGGAGCGGCCGCCACGCACCTCGGGCCGGTGACAGCCGAAAGGGAGCCGCCACTGCGTGGAGGGGCGGATGTCATGAATGCCTGTGTGAGGACTCAGATGGGTTAAGAGGCTGTCACGCTGGCCCCCGTGGAAACTGAGGGTGCAAAGCGCTCGCCTCCCCCAGTTACCTTTAGCAAGGTCAGAAGTGCCTGCCCTGCTCCTCGGGAGCTTCCAGCAAGGGAGAGCAGCGTGGGCGGGCAGTGCACTGTGTTCCCAAGTCTGCACGGGAAATTCACGACCACCAGCCCCTTCGGCTTGTGCCTCTCAGAGGCCCCTCCAGGCCACCCTGGCGGAGGCTTGTCTTAAATCTTGGTCTTCTCTCTACCCTGTCTGCTTGGAAATTCTTCCACGTGACCAAGTGGAGAAATTGTCACCTCGGTTGTCTCAAACGGAATTTCCAAGTGGACAGCAGAGGTTTACATAGACCAGAGTCGAAGACCCACAGCCAGAGCGGCACGGGGGGGGGGACTCCAAGAGATTCAAAAACCCAAAAGGCCCCATAGCATTCCGGTTTTCAAGTACAATCTTGGAGACCAAACTGTCAATCAACGAGGTGGAGATAAACTCAAAGACCTGGTGTACAACTAACTCTCCATCCTGCCTGGCTTAAAAAAGAAAATTAAAAAAGGATAAAAAAAAAATCATCCAAAGGGCAGGAGAGAAATCCCCACTCCGCTGCTATTCTCATGGTCAATTTGTAAATTTGGAGATTCCTAAGGAAGCGGGACACTCTGATCTACTGAAGATAACCTTCCGGGGAGAGCAGGCACCTCGCTATTCCAGCTTTCTCCCAGGGACACCCTGACTGCCTATTACCCATTAACTGCTCACAGAGGCACCATCTCCACACCCGTAACAGTAGCACCGGATGCCCTGTCACAGAGCCACCACGCTGAAAGCACTTCTGGGAGGAGCCCGGGCCAGCAATCCCGCAGCCTTGACCGGCACCAGGTCAGGGTAGCTAAGGATGACTTCAAAAGAGCCCGCGTAATCCTCATCTTTGTTCTAAAACTCCCACCTTGCCTCAACCCCCTTGAATGTGCACCTAGCACGGTGAACGTTCCCAGTGAGGAATCCGACGGGTGGGTCCCGGTGTTGGTTGGTCCCAGTGTTAGAGAGGAAGGGGGAAGTCTCAGAGATGATGCAAAATGCATGTTTCTCCCTCAAAAGCTGCCCTTAGCAAGACAAAAGTGCACTCTCGGAGGCTTCCAGTTTTACCATGAGAATAGCAAGAGTGCGGAGTCTCCAGCTTTTGTCTTATCTTGAGCAACCAAGATGGGCAGATAAGATTACAAGTCCCTGACTCTTGAAGCATTTCGTCCCCGACTTCCTACTGATTGTTGCTGTTCTTTTTCTCAAAATTGTGCTTAAAAACTCCACTTCACCAGCCTCTCTCGGAGTCCTCCTCTCCCCCGGGTGCTTCGGTGGGATTCTTACTTGAATCTTGCTTTTCTCTCTGCCTTGTCCACATGGAAATTTTCATGTGAGACAAAGAACTGAGGTAGTCTTTCTCTGCCACTGTTTCACCCGTAACACGTGGTCCATCCCATTCCCAAATAAATGGAGAGTCTGTCTGTTTTAAGTTACCAGGTTGCTGGAGGACTGAGTGAGGTGCCTGGTACACTGTAAACACTTAACAAACGTTCTCTTCTCTTCCTCCTACCAGGGAGGTGACTCTGCCCCAGTATTTAACCTCTAAACCCAAGAGAGTAGCACTCACCTAACCAAGGCCTGTAAGCGTTAGTTAGCTCATCCTGTTTGCCTTGGTTATCTGCCACTTCTGGCAATCTATTTTTCAGCGAGTTATCTTACCTCTTGGTACACCTGCTTTCTGTTTCCGCCTGCCATATAGCAGGTGCTCAATAGTGAGTCATGAATGAGAGTTCCCTGCTGTTACAGTTACCGAGCTTTGGCTTCCCATCCATGCCAAACCGCAGTCAGTGTTTGCAGTATAAGGAAAAAATAAACTAAACAAAAAGACATCTCCATTTTTTGGTTTGCTGGGGTAAAAATTCCGCAAAAGGACAATTCATGCATTTTTTTCACTTGGTAAATATTTCTTAGGGACCCTGCGGTACCAGCGTTATGGGTGAAGAGACGACATTGGCTCTTTGTCTCACACAAAAGAATTATCGTGTGGACGAGGCAGAGAGGAAGCAGGATTTAGTCAAGCTGGAGCTCCTGCTGGAGCGGCCAGGAAGTGGGGGTGGGTGAGGAAGACCCGCCGAGGTTCGTAAAGCATTTAGAGAGACGGTGGTCTTGTCAGGGTCGGGGGTGAAAGGAAGAACTCACCAGGGTGTGGAGCTCGGAGCCCAGAGCCTCGCTCCACGCTGGGCCCCGTCTCACCGACTCCACGGAATCACAGGAGTTTTCAGCCCAACAGCCCGTTAGGTGTCCAGTCAAGGAGTCCTTGAAAAAGGCCAGAGAGCAGCCCTGGCCTGAACTGCAAAGTTACTCCAAGCCTCCTCCCAGGCGGGCCGACCCCCGGGAAGGAAGCTGTGTCGGACTGGACCAACATTCCCCGAGCTGAGAAGCAAGGAGGGGAGCCTCCGGCTTTACAGCTTGCGAGGACTCCAGAGGGCAGGGGACTGGCTCCCTGCAGGAAAGTGCGTTTCCCGGCCCAAAACCGTTCTGGATGTCGGGGTCCGGCCACCAGAAGCAGCCCGGACATAAACTGGCGCCCATGCGGGATGCTGGTGCCACAGACGAAAGCTTAGCCCACTGAGCCACAGCGCAGCCCCGAACTAACCGCTCCTACCTGGCTTTCAGGGTTTATGGTGTTTTTGAGAAAATGAGAGTTGCTAAGGAGGAGAGTGAATCTCCCCAAAAAACAGAAGCGAGAGCAGTCTCCGTACTCACCGGTCCAGGGAGACGACCCCACAGCTGGCTGGAATTGCCAGAGTTGCAAATCCCGAGGGGCCGGTGGTACTGGGCTTTTAAGCGCAATTTTTGAAAAAAAAAAAAAAAAACTGTCAATCAGTACAAGGCGGGGACAACCCATCAAAAAACCTGATTTGTAATCTTTTCACTGGTCTGGCCGGCTCGGGAGGGTGGAGTCACCACTCCCCTGCTATTCTCTGGATAAGAATGGTAGCCCCCAAGGCGTGGGCCGGCGCTTCTGACCTTGCTAAAGATAACTTTTGGGGAAAGAAAGCATTTTACACCCTACATTTCCACTGGGACCAACCTGACTGCCTATCAGCCCGTCTGACTCCTCACACGTGGGCCCCTGCACCCACGTGGGAGACCCACCTGGAGAACTAGGCTCCTGGGTTCTGCCCTTTGGGGGCATCTGGAGAGTAGACTAATGGATGGAAAAGTCCCTCTGTCTTGATCTCTCCCTTTCTCTGTAACTCTGCTTTTCAAATAAGCACATATTTTAAGTATATAAATTTACTTTTCATGCATTAAATTGTTAGCTGTTTGAGAATGTTCTCTTTATGTTAGTAAGGTAGACATTAGGAGGTCAAAGAAAATGGGAATTGTGCAGCTAGCACTGTGGCATAGTAGGTGAAACCACCACCTGCAATGCCAATGCGGTTCAACTCCACTGCTCCAGCTCCAGGCTAAGGGCTCTGCCACCCACGTGGGAGACCTGGAGGAGGCTCCCAGCTCCTGGCTGCTGGCCTTTGCAACTACTTGGGGAATGAAGCAGAGGATGGAAGACCTCTCTCTCTCTCTCTCAACTCTGACTTTCAAATAAATAAATAAATCTTTTTTTAATGAGAACTTTTTGTGTGGTTGAATGAAAAAAAAAAAAAAAGCAGAAGCAAACCTAGGAAGTAGACCAGTATTTGCATATCAAAGTCTTGCCTGCTTGGAGAACCTTGGGTGAGTCCCAGCCCTCTCTCGGGGGCACTGACTGTTGATGTACATGTAATACTTTATCCATTTTAGTATTTTTTTTTGTTCTAGTACTATTGGTTGAACTCTGTAATTAACACACAATTATTCTTAGGTGTTTAAATTTTAACTGAAAAGTGATCCCTGTCAGGAATTTGGAAAGCATTATGCTGAGTGAAATAAGCCAGTCCCAAAGGGACAAATACCGTATGTTCTCCCTGATCGGTGACAACTAACTGAGCACCAAAAAGGAAACCTGTTAAAGTGAAATGAACACTATGAGAAACGGTGACTTGGTCAGCCCTTCCCCTGACTGTTGATGAACAACTTAATACGTTATCCCTCTTAGTATTTTTTTTTGTTTGTTCTACTTAATACTTTTGGTTGAATACTGTAATCAATACACAGTTATTCTCAAGTGTTGAAACTTAACTGAAAAGTGATTGCTGTTAAATATAAGAGTGGGAATAAGAGAGGGAAGAGATGTGCAATATGGGACATGCTCAAGCTGACTTACCTCAAACGGTAGAGTTAGAAACATACCAGGGGATTCCAATTCAATCCCATCAAGGTGGCATGTACCAATGCCATCGGGGGCAGTTTAGGGGGATCTTCTGCCACCAGTGGAAGATGGGGATTGAGGCTTTTGGGGAGTGAACCGGCCAATGGGCACTCACCCCGGCACTCTCTCTCTCTGTCTTAAAAATAAATTCATTAAAATTAAGGAAAGCTTTTTGAGGATGAAGCTGGATTTGTGGGGGCCTAACCCTGGCTCCAAGCAACCCACTCCTCCCCCAAAAGTGTTGGGAACTTTGGTTTTAAAGAAGAGAAGAGAAGGTTTTGAGGTAGAACTTCCCTTGCACAGGGTTTTTGCTGACCAAGCAGCTCTCGCTCAGGGAGGGACCACAGAATGCTGAAGCTGCCGTCTCACACTTCGGGCCCAGCTACAGAAT